GCACCTGCTACAAGACTATTTTTTTGTTGCAGTTTGGCCGGGGCTGGGTTTGAACCCGCCACCCTCGGTATATGAGGCCAGCACCCTATCCACGGAGCCACAGGCGCCACCCCATGTCTTTAATTTTTTTCAGCAACATTTTGTAGTTTTCAGTGTACAAGTATTTCATCTCCTTGTTTTAAGTTGATTCTTGTCTTTTCTTCTTTTTGATACTATCATAAATGGAGCTGTTGCCTTAATGTCCTTTACAAATGGTTTGGTTTTGTGTATGGAAATGCCAATGATTTTTGCATGCTAACCTGGCATCCTGCAACTTGCTGCATCCATTCATGAGTCCTAACAGAGGGTTTTTGTAGAAATGTCAGCGTTTTCAACATATAAGATCATGTCATCTGAGAACAGAGATTATTTTTTTTCTTCCTTTCCAGTTTAGGTGGCTTTTGTTTATTTTTCTTGCCTCATTGCTCTGGCTGGGATTTCCACCGGGCTATGCTGAATACAGGCGCCTCTTCCGCGAGTGTTTGCTCGATAGCTTTCCTTCTCTTCATTCCAGCCTTACCTGGAACATCCTCTCCCTAAAGGGGGCCAACCCTGACAGTGCCCAGCCCCCGGCCTAGTCCCTTGTTATCACATGATCACGTTTTATTTTACACCACTTCCTATCATCTGAAATTACACCGTTTATTTGTTTGATTGTTTATTTCCTATCTCTGCCTCCCGGACGGGGGATGCCTGTGTGCAGGGACCCATCCTTCTTGCTTTTCCCTAGGGGGGATTCTGGCACACAGAAGTTCCTTGAGAAATGTTGATTATGGCTCGGCGCCTGTGGTTCAAGCGGCTAAGGCACCAGCCACGTACACCTAAGGTGGCGGGTTCGAATCCCAGCCCGGGCCCGCCAAACGACAATGATGGCTGCAACCAAAAAATGGCCAGGCATTGTGGTGGGCGCCTGTAATCCCAGCTACTTGGGAGGCTGAGGCAGGAGACTCGCTTGACCCCAGGAGTTGGAGGTTGCTGTGAGCATGATGCCATGGCACTCTACCCAGGGGGATAGCTTGAGGCTCCATCTCAAAAAAAAAAAAAAATGTTGATTATATGAATTGGTCAAAGGTGGGGCTGAGACACAGGCAGATGGAGACTTCCACACACCTGGCCATGCCTCCTTCTCTCTAGAGTTTTCTTCTCTGCATCCCAACAAAAGGCCTTCATCTACCAGGTTGATTCTTCACCCTGTTCTATAATTGCTCGCTTTCTGGCTGGGGTTGGTCATCGTAGAGGGGATATATCACAGTGGCCCAGGATTGGGGCTGGGGAGGATGCATCTTTAGTACCTTGAACAGTCACAATAATAATAGCATCATATTAACAACCTGCATTGCAGTTTCAAGGACTTAAGCATCCATCATCCCTGAAAGAGAAAGCTAACCAAAATGCAGATGATTATCCTGAAAATGAAGGGACAAGAGAGAGGTTTAAAAATTAGCAAGGGAAGGATTTTTGCAACATGGAATGTTTCTTCTTGGTCTCAAGGAAGAGGGCACTTGAAAGAGAAAAACAGTGGGAAAGGACCACATTTTATCTTAAAGATTAGTTCAGAGCAGAGTGTCAGGGAATCTGCAGTAATGGAGGTTTGGGGATGTAATTTTTTTAAAAATTAAGAAGGAGGGGGAAAGGCAGCAGGCCCTGAGCCTCCAGCATGGTGCACACATCATCCGTCTGCCCCTGGCAGCAGCTGGCAGGGGTGAGCACATTACAGGAGAGTGAGGGCCACCTTCCTCCCTCGGCCCTTTCTGCTCTGGGTTTAGGGATAATCAGAGTTTTATGGCTTGTCTCTTGAGAGCGATTAGAAGCAAAGCTGCCAATTACAGGCTAAATCTCAAAGCGCTTTTACAGAAATCGCACTTCCTAAACCCAAAGCCCTGATTCCCAAGCTGCCTCTTGTCATCTGTGACCCCAGCAGTTGGTCAGCAGATGACATTAAGTTGACACACTTACTCTGCCTCTACCGTGTGCCTGGGACTGGGGCACTGAGCCTCCAGGTGCAGTAACCTGCCTTATCCTCCCCTGGGCATGGTCCAACAGCACCGTTGGGATCCAGCTCCCAGACAAACGGAGCCAGGCTGGGCAGGACCTGCGCTCCTTGAGGCCCGTGGCTGCAGGACCCCAGAGCTGGCATCAGGCTACATCACAGGCTACTAAGTGCTCAGTGCCCTCACTGTGGAAAAGAGGTTTCAGTGACAGTCCTGGATCCCAACATCATTCCTGATGCCTCTTCCCAGGAAAAGTCCTCCTCCTCTGAGGCAGTGAGCCCAGTGTGACAGGACATTGAACCAGATGTTTTCAGAGGGCTCTGGATTTAGGCTGAAGTCTCATAGCTAGAAGTATTGGAACCCATCTGGGCTAAAGAATATGGAAATACCCTTGGTTTCCACCGATGCCACCCAATATGAGAGGGGGATATTTGAAAGGGGAGTTTGGGGGCTTGGCACCCATAGCACAGTGGTTACGGCACCAGCCACATATACTGAGGCTGGCAGGTTTGAACCCAGCCGGGGCCTGCTAAACAACAATGACAACTGCAATCAAAAAATAACTGGGCGTTGTGGCAGGCGCCTGTAGTCCCAGCTACTTGGGAAGCTGAGGCAAGAGAATTGCTTAAGCCCAAGAGGTTGAGGTTGCTGTAAGCTGTGATGCCACAGCACTTTACCCAGGACGACATAGTGAGACTCTGTCTCACAAAAAAAAAAAAAAGAAAGAAAGGGGAGTTTTAAAATGGAATATGCAGGAGATGCTTTTCAGCTAAGCAAGTAGGGGGCTTTGGGAGACCCACTTGCAGAGGCTGGGGTGTCTCAAAGAGAGGGTGCACATCTTCCTCCTCTCTGCGGGCAGGGGCCCCATGCAGATCAGAGTGTGGACAGGAGAGGCCTCCCCTCTCCTGGAGAAGGTGGGAGTGGTAGGAGGCTGCCCTCTACACAGAATAGAATTGGGTAAACTGCTCCCCCAGGGATGTTGGGAGCACCCATGGGCAGAGGGAGCGCTGGGCTGGGGCCACGGGAAGGTGGAGTAGGGTCACCAGGGAAGGGTACCCAGGGACAAGAACTGAGGGTGAGGTTTGCAGCAGGGCAGCAGGGGGCATTCCGAGTGCAGCGTCCCAGTGTCTGGAGCCATGTGGTGGGGCCCCTCGTGTCTCTGAACAACCCCCTCATACACTACTTGGGTCAGGTTCCCCTGAAGTGGACCCTGAGAGGGACCCTTATGCAAGAACTCAGACAAGAACCTGGACCAGAGGGGCAGTGGGGAGTGGGGACAGGGGACAGGGAAGGGCAGGAAGCCAGGCCAGGCCCCACAGGGAGGGAGGGAAGCTGCAGCCTACCTGGGGGAGTCCAGCCCAGGGTGTGAGTCCCAGCACTCTTTGCCTCACCCCAGGGCCAAGCTGGGCTTGTGACACTGCACTCCTGGGGGATATATGGGGGGGAGGCCACAGATCCACAGCCCCAAGGGAGGGGTGATGCCCTGGAGAGGGCAGTGTGGGGGAGCACAGAACACGGGAGAGGACCAGGACACGGCTGGCACCCCCATGGCCACTTCTTGTTCCTCCGCTCACTGCCTGGGAGCTATGTTGATGCCACTGCACTCCAGACAGGGTGATGGACGAGGCCCTCTCTTAAAAAATATATATAAAATTTAAAAGTTTTCCAAAAGGCTGGCGTGGTGGCTCACACCAGTAATCCTAGCACTCTGGGGGGCCAAGGCAGGTGAATTGTCTGAGCCCAGGAGTTCGAGACTAGCCTGAGCAAGAGCAAGACCCTGTCTCTAAAAATAGCCAGGCATGGTGGTGGGCACCTATAGTTCCCAGCTACTTGGAAGGCTGAGGCAGAGGATCATTTGAGCCCAACAGTTCAAGGTTGCTGTGAGCTATGACTCAGAGGCACTCTACAGAGGGTGATAAATGAAACTCAGTCTCAAAAAAGAAAAAAAAAATCCCTCTGGGTTAGTGATTATGCCTCTACAAACTCTAACCAGATGCTCCCCTCCTCCAGCCTCAGTTTCCCCACTTTTAAAGTGGGAATGGTCCTAGCTGCCCTGACACCTGATGGCTAATCTATAAACCAGGAGGAGCTGCCGGGGCCGGGGCCGGGGCCAGAGCCATTAATAAAGCTAATTCGGCTGACAGGAAGAGTTTAAAAGAAAAAAAAAAACACCGTACAAGCCGATAATTGGTGACCATCTTTTTGTCAGGGCTAATGACCTTCTGTGCCACATGGGCTGCTGGGTTCAACCCTGTCTTCTTTTTTTCTGTCATCACACAACGTTCAGCTTCAGTTTCTCGGAGGTAGGATGGGGGCACTCAGGTGCCGGTGACACCATCTGAGAGCAGAATCCTGTCCAATAGAGAATGCGAACCACACGTGTCATTTCAATTCTTTCAGTAACCACATCACGGGGGGAAGAAGTGAAAAGGAAACAGAAGAAATTAATTTCAGTCATATACCGTATGTGACCCAAGCATGAGACAGTAGCAAGGGTAAGAAGCCCCGGCCGCCCCCTTCTGCCTGCCCCCAGCTTTCCACAAGTCCCAGACTTTGACGACGTGCAACTCTCCGGCAAGATGTTTTGAAGGCAAAACAGGTTAGAGCACGTGGCCCCAGGTCTCTTGCCTGAGTCACTATAGTCCTTAAGATAAACAACCCTAGCGTTCGCCTTTTTCTCTATATAAGCTAGCATCTGGGCCAAGAGTGATGGCTCACCCGTGTAATCCCAGCACTTTGGGAGGCTAAAGGGGGAGGATTGAGCCCAGGAGTCTGAGACCAGCCTGGGCAACATAACACCACCTGTCTCCACAAAATAAATAAATAAATAAATAAATAAATAAATAAAATTAATTTTCCAATATTTCATTACACAATTTTTTTAATAAACACACAGTACAGTTAAAAGAATTATACCATGATCACCCAAACATCCACCACCTACATTTTATAATTTTTTTCTTCTTTTTCACACGTGAGGAATTTGTTCATAGGGAGGTCACAAGTTTTGTGCCCTTCATGGCGATGACCCCCGATTCCTTCTGGGCATGTCATAAACAGAGGAGCCATTCTTCAGGTCCCTTGCTCTGAGTACACCCCTAAAAAACAATTCTTTTTAAATAGCTGGGTGTAGCGGCCTGCCCGTGAAGGCATAGCTGCTCGGGAGTGAGAATTGAGCCAAGAGGTTCAAGGGAGTTGTGATGTTGCCACTATGCTCTAGCCAGGGTGACAGAACAAGACCCTGTCTCCTAAAAGAAAAGATAACAACTGACAGGGTTAATGTTTATATCTGTAAACAATAACCAGATGTACTCCTGCACCCAAACTTTAATGTGACTATGCACATACCATATTGTCACCACCGGTGCACAAACTGTATATTGAAATACTATCTCAGAGCCACCTGGCAGAACCAGGCTGAAAGGCTCCTGGGCCAAAGGCCACAGTCTATAGTCTACAGTAAGACGTCTGTATAAAACTAACTTTAAAGCTTTAAAAGCTTGACTTTTCTCTTTAGTCAAACATGACATATCTGAAATATGATTTCAACATATAGCAACCACAAAAATGAAGATCTTTTATAATTTTTTCATACCAAGTCTTCAAAATTTGGTTTGCATTTTTCATAGAGAGCACCTCTCTGCGTTTATAAGAAAGACTCAATCTGTATATGTACATGTATTTTGGGGAGTGGGGGACAAAGTCTCACTTTGTCGCCCTCAGTAGAGTGCCATGGTGTCACGACTCACAGCAACCTCAAACTCTTGGGCTCAAGTGATTCTCTTGCCTCAGCCTCCCGAGTAGCTGGGACTACTGGAGCCCGCCACAATGTCTGGCTATTTTGAAAGACGGGGTCTCACTCTTGTTCAGGCTGGTCTCGAACTCCTAAGCTCCAGCAATCCACCCACCTCGGCCTCCCAGAGTGCTAGGATTACAGGTGTGAGCCACAGTGATCTATATTTAGATTTCAGAAAATACGTAGTTAAAAAAATAGATTCACACGAACAACTTACCCCAACCATATTTAAAAGTTTTCCAATTGCTGGATCACATATCTGGTTTTGATAATTTAACTAAAATGAAATAAAATTAAAAATTCTGTTTCCCAGTCACATCAGCCACATTGCAAGGGCTCAGTAGCCCCCTGTGGCAAATAACAATCGTCTTGGGCAGATACTGGGCAGTTCCAGACATCTTCCTGATCTCTTTTTAAGTTTTCCGTCCTTACCACATCCTTCTTGGTGTTCATAAAAACAGCATCTTGCATCCTTTTTGCCCTCCTAGTTATCCATTTGCCATGTTTATTTAAGTTATACGATTGCAATACCAAGTACTTTCAACAAATAGCAACTCTGTGGGCATTTCAGACAGGAGCTGATAGCCCCAAGCTGTGGACCAGTTCAGCTACCTGTTTGCAGAAGGATGGGGGCCTGGGAGAATCAGGGGAGTAGGATAAGGAAGTCGCACAGGCAAGATCAGACTCTGCATTTAAAGCTCTAAGTTCAATGCATGGCCTACAAAAATTTGTCATTGTTGTCATTTCCACTAATCCAAAATCATCCCCATCCACCAAAGCCCTGCTCTGATGGCTCCCTAACCAATATCCTAGAACCCTAGCTCCGTTCTGGTATCTAACCCTGTCCTGTGCTGCCCCTTGGCTCAGCCCCAGGGTCCTCCTGATTGGTCTGTGGTTATGGACATTTGGCAATTCCCTGGGGACTGTTAGCAGTCATGGGGAGGAGGGGTGAGGATGGCGTAAGATGGCCAATTGTATTGGAGAGAAGAATACCCCTCACTTGAAGGAGAGATTTCTCTCCATGTCCAAAGACCTGGACAAGGAGGTTATGGTCCCAGCTGCTGGTGGCAGCTACGTTGACCCAAAAGGGAAAGCAACTTGAGAATGAAACCACAACAGCAGGTGGCAGAGCAGAGAGGCTGGTGGTGTTGAACATGGCCACTGGATCAAGCCACCCCAGAGTCTACTTCCACCATGGGAGATAAATTCGCTCACTCGTGTAAGCTGGGTTCATCAGGAGTTTCAGCTAACTCATGCACAATCCCTCCCAACATGACTTCCCTGACTGCCCCCTCATACACACACACACAACCAGCAATCCCTCCTTTGTCTGAACCCTGGCACATTTCTCACTGCCCTAACCCATTGCGCCCTGTGTGCCTGTTATGTCCACGTGCAACTCCCCCACCAGCCAGGGGCCCACTGAGAACAAAATCTGGCTTATATTTTTGCTCCTGGCCCCCGCATCCTGTGCTTAGTAAGCGCTCTGCGAATTTCATTGCACAAACTAATGTATATTTTATTGCATTCGCTTTAGAAAGCTGGATAGATGTCTGGAAAGCACTGTTTTGTGTTGTGTTTTTAAGAAACTCATCACTGGGGCTTCCCATTTGGGCTCCCCCCTCCATTGCTGGAGGTTCCGTTCCCCTTCTTTCTCTAATCCACCTCTTTTATCTTTCAATAAACTCTGTCCTTTCATTTACTCGCATGGTCCGTGGTTTCATTCTTCGATCTCTGAGATCAAGGACCTAAGATCAAGGACCCAACACAGAGAAATTCCGGCTACACTGTGATACAGTTTCTGGCTTACTATTGCATGTTGGCAGAGAATAAACACCTGACCACAGGACTCCGTGTGACCTGAGCTGCTCATGGAGAGCTGAATGTACAACAGAACTCCCTCATCAAGAGAAAGCAGTATTTGAGATCAAGCTCCAGCAAGTCTGGGAAAGTTGTAGGAATACATGGCTAAGAATCCTAGGGTGCCTGCCTTTTCTTCAACCCTCAACTAAGGCTGCAATCAGCTCACGTAGGAAGAAAAACCTCCAGCTGGATTTACAAGCGATTTTCCACGATACCTACCAAGAGTGAACCATATTATAGCCCCACCCAGGAGTGGCTTGAAAGACACAGGAATAGACATCCTCCAAGGCAGAACTCAACAAGATATCTATTGGTTGATGTGCTCTGTCAGAGAGATCACCAGAAGTACAGATCCATGCTGATTCATGGGCAATGGCTAATGTTTAGCTGAATAATTGAGACTTGGGGAAAAAAGAATACAAAACGGATGACAGGAAGGTCTGGAGAAAAATTATGGTACTGGAACTCTCAGAACAGATAGTGTGAAGGTCCCATGTGAATGTTACCCCCAAATTATCCCCCTGCAGAGAGAACTCTCAGTGATCAGGTAGACAAGGTGACCCATTCTGTGAATGTCAGGTGGCCTCCTTTCCCTGGATACTCTGGTGCTTGCAAAATAGCCTTGGCAGCTGGGATGAAGACTAAGCACTGACTGTCACCAACGCAAATCTGGTTATGACCCCTGGTGAGTAGCCAAGTTGCCAATAGCAGAGGTCGTGGCTGAGCCTTTCACATGGCACCATTTCTGGGGGGATTATGCAGCCAGAGAGCATGAGGTTGACAACAGTGGGCACCTTCCTTCAAAGAAGGAGTTCTCTGAACACGTGGTCCTAAGAAAGAAAAAAAAGAAAGAAAGATACTCATCACTGAGATGTATTCTGCTGTTAGACAACACTGCTATCTTTCGATGCCAGTAAAGACAAAGCTTAAGATGTTTAATTTTGTCAGGACAAACTACATGTCTATAAAGGTCCCATCGTCTTTTTCCCAGTTAACAGTATTTGAAGACTCATCATTTCCTTCCTGAAAGTTAGCTCCCTCTTTAACATTCAAACTCCCTCAAACAGAAGTAGCACTTGCCCACAAACCCATCTGGACAGGTGGCAGCCAAGTTAAACCTCCTCCGTGGGCCTGGAGCACCCTGGGTGTTCATGAAACTGTCATTCATTCATTCTTCAAATGCAGGGGTGCCTCACCCTATCCAGAAGTAGACTGGGCCATTAGAATAAAATCCAGGCTGAGCCTTTAAAAGATCAAAGCTACAAACTGTCCTGGGCCACTTTAGAGATGGGATTTTAGGAAGAAAGAGTTTGGGTTTTAAATCAAAGGTTAGTGCTGCAGGGCCCTGGGACATTGTTTGGCATCAGAGTCACATGGCACACGCTCCTGTGGGCTTCTGATGCTCTTCATCTCTCCTCCAAGCCGGTTGTTCCCACAGCAAAAAGGACCCCTGCATCCTTCAGGAGATTAGGCCAGATCTTAGAGCCGGTCTGATCTTCTCCATCCCTTATCCTCCCACATCCAATCTGTCGACAAAACCTGTCACTTGACCTTCAAACCCCAGCCACTACGTGGTCTCCTCTCCACACAGCCCTTGCTGGACTATGACAAGTGCCTCCTCACTGGTCACCCTGCACTGACCCCTGCTCAGACAGCCATATAAAGTCCTTTATAAAATCATATAAAGTCCTCCGTGCAAAACCCTCTAGTCACATCCCATCTTGCTCAGAATATGACACAAACTTCTTTGCCATGACCTGAAAGGTCCCAAAGTATCTCAACTCTAGCTACTGTCCTTCTGGCTCCTCTGCCTGACCTTCTTAGAACACACTAGGTGAGCTCCCACCCCAGGGCCTTTGCACATGCTGCTCCCGCTATCTGGACTATTCCTCCCCCTAGATACCCATGTGGAAGATTCCTTAATTCCTTCAGGCCTCTGCTGACCAGGCACATCTCAGGGAGGACTCCCAGGCGCCCCTCCAGTCACTCTTAATTCCAACATGTGTGTGCCACATATGTGTCTGTGTGACTGTGCTTGTGATGGGTGGGGTCTGCCTACTGTCCCCCACTCCACCTGGAATGTCAGCTCCCTGAGAACTGGGCCTTGGTCTGTTTCACCCACAGCTGTGTCCCTGGTATCTGGGATGTTCCTGGCACACAACAGCTGCTCTGCAAGGAGCTGTTGAGTGAATGAACAATGTGTCGCTCCAAGAGGGCTGTTCGGAGGGGAGTTCCCAGAGATGGACAGAGCTGCCTGGCCCAGAGCGTCTGAAATCTAGGGCTGGACTCCTCGTCCCTCCAGGAAGAGCCACTAAGAGCCTAAGTTGCACTGTGTTTTCTCAATACAAAGGCTCTTTCTGCAATTCTCTGGCCATGGGGACCTTTCTGAAGCCAGAGCTACTGAACATGGCCCCACTAAACACACTTTCCTAGAAGGAAC